TTTTTGAAGTGGAACCAAAATCTTAACAATCGGAATGCGATTCTCGAAGAAATTATTAGTACGTAAAGTTTACTTTTTATGGTGCAAGCATGTTCCGTTTTCCAACTGCATTTGTTTAATATTTTCAGTAAAACGAGTTCACTGTGCGAAAACAGAGCTAATCCAGTGTTTGGTTTAGCTTCTTTATGTTCGATGTGTGAGCATGGCACAACTTTAACAGTAGCTTACTTTTGCGGTCTTCCACAACTTTATTCATCTCCAGAAGATGCGTCTTTCCACTAATTATTGGTTAGGCTTCTTGTCAATGAGATTAGAGCCCTTTCCATTTGCGGCTTCTTCTCTAGAAAAGGGCTAGACCTAAACGTAGTTTTTGCAGTCAATTTGTAGAGGAGCTATGGCCCTACATCGTCATAAATGGTGGTGTGAACGCGAAACATTCATTTTACCGTCTTTCTGGCTTTACAGGTGTGGTTTTTCTACTGTGAACGCTTTCACCTTGGGTTTCACAAGCCGCTGTCTCGTAGGCGCTCTTCTGCTTCCCTTCACTGTTGTGAAGGCTCAAGCAGAGGCTGGATTGACTGGAGGGCGTTCCACATTCTCATCCATTCGCTGGCTCTACACGACGGCTAAATGGCGAGGTTGTCGGATTTCTCTTTTTTACACTCCTTTGATGTCACTATAGACTTGCTGAGCTTCTTTCTTTCCTCATGTCAATTTAATCTGCGAAACTATCCATTGATACCTATCATGCTCGCTGAAATAACGGCTGTTCTCGTTTTTAAACATCATCCCATCAAAATGTTACTGCGCCCACCTGCACTGTGTTCCTCCTTCTTCAGGAATTTACAGTGGTCTGCTACCAACCCTGGCACGTGACAGTCCATACTCTGGCATCTACCTCCTATTCTACACACAGTTCAAGAACCTCATCTTCCCAAGTACGTTTGCCGTGCTTACTTGGAGATCAGTAGTGCTTCTATAATCAGTAGCACACGATATTCCCTCCAATTCGGAGTGAACAAGTGACATTGATGACGCTGTCTTCGTTTAGATAATGGGAACTCTGTTTTGGCATTCAGATTGCGCAATACTGTTTATGTCATTGTGTAGTTCATACTACGATCACAACGTATTGGTAACAGTCTAGGTCACAATCCCAAAGAATGGCTAGAAATGTTTCTCTACCTACTACCGGTAAATGATTGCAGCTGCTGTGTTTTGTTTTAGCCCCCATCTTAGGGTAAACAGTTGCTACTGGGCTGAATGCAATTGAAAATGATATTTTCTAGAAAAATTACTTCCACATAATGTTGGGAGCTGTAGGAATTTGTCAGTTATGGATGTTGTCCACACTAAAGTACAGTCTGATCCTACACCACAATTGCGTTAAACAAGAAGGTGGGTGTGTTTGAATGCTTGCGAACTTGGATGGTCGAAGGCTAAAGCTTAGTGGATAGAGGCTGAAGTCAGTCGTTGGTCTGTGCACTTATGTTATAAACGCTTGTGCTTGCTACTCTCGACTTCAACGCGATTGCTTAAAGAGTAGAGTTGAAGCACTTTCCCCTGTCAGCATTCTCATCAACTCACCTGGTGCTCAAGTGCCAATTCCAATCTTTATTTGTGTTTGTAAGGGCACCTCCCCTGTGGCCAATGGGTGGAACGTTATAATCAACACCTACTACTTTAATGTTCACTCTACTTTTAATCACAATTAGATTACAAATAGGTTACAATACCCTGCTTTCCCACTTTTGGTTCTGAGAATGCGAATCATCAACTTCGCAGATATGCGAAATAGATCAACATTTTCACCATCTTGTCTCACACTTGTCACGTCTTTCTCCCTTCAAGGTGACACCATCGACACCACTGTGCCTGCACACATACTCAGCGTCTGCGCACTGCTTGCTGCTATGTGCGCTACTGCAGTCACTCAGCCTGCTGATGTGCTTCGTTCCAATCGCCAGCTCTCTATTGTCACCATTCCGGTTCGTTGCTTCCCTTTTCATTCACTCAAGCGGCTTGTGGCCATTGCTCCTACGCCTATTTTAACGCATAGAGGACTGGATTTTCGGCTTTGCATGAGGCAAAAATGGGACTCATGGCTCCGTTATCGTTATGTAGCTGTTGAAAGCTGATAGTAACAATCAACGGAAAGCAAACACTGTAGATCAGTTGCTCACTTCCAAAGTGAAAGACAATTTAGAGAATCTCCCCTGTGATTTTTGAAATGGAAACTTGTGCAAGGCTTTACTCGTCGTCAAGTCACCGAAACTTCCAGGTACTTTGTGTATTTGTTGAATTATTGCATCTCTTTCTCTAAGGGCTTATCACACCAGGTATTTAGTTTTCTTCATCATTTTAACACAAGATCCGATTATTATGCAAATGGAATTGGACTTTTTAAGTGACTGGATTACTCGCGCGTTTTTTTATCTCAAGAGCAACGTATTTTGACGTCATGGGAAACGTTTATTGGGCTTGAATAATTCCAATTCGTCATACCGTCACAGCCATTGGCAATGCAAAAGGTCGCGTCATTGATAGGCCAGAATCCCAC